TAGCAGCCATCGTTCTCAATGCATACCCAAGTTATAGGATTTAAATAGGATTTACATAGGCAATAGACACATCAAAACAGCTGTATCTCAGGGCTAGGAGTGGAGCCTATAGCAGAGCACTTGCCTGGTCTGTGTAAGCACCACTATCACAACAGAAAACCTATTCTTAGTGGCAAGCAGCCCACCCCTTGCCACTAATTCTATAAGCATATTTTCATATATGGCTAGAACTAGATACTTTCATCCCTTCTACTATTAACTATTACCCAATACCTCACTTCTACTTTATTTCATTAGAATAAATAGCTTTTCTTACTCTTATAATAGCCATTAAAGAATTTTGGATATTTAAGATTTTAGATTTCTTAAATACAGTAGTACAGATTGAATATATCTTTATCTGAAAGGCTTGGGACCAGAATATTTTGAATTTCAGATTTTTAAAATTTTGGAATATTTGCATATACATAATGAAATATTTTGTGGATAGAACCAAGTCAAACATAAGACTCATTTGTTTCATATACACTGTATGTACCTAGCCTGAAGGTAATTTCAGGCTATTTCCAATGTGCCTGTGTTTTGACTGCAACTCATCACAGGAGGCCAGGTATAGACTTTTCCTTTGGGGAATCATACCTATGGTCCCAAGCCTTTCAGATAAAGATATATTCAATCTGTACTACTGTATTTAAGAAATCTAAAAAAATCTTAAGAATCCAACAATTCTTTAATGGCTATTATAAGAGTAAGAAAAGATATTTATTCTAATGAAATAAAGTAGAAGTGAAGTATTGGTAATAGTTAATAGTACCTGCAAAGTTTCAGATTTTAGAGCATTTTTGGATTTTGAATATTCAGATGAGCAACATCAATCTACAGTAAATAAACTTCTCACATTTAGTCATCTGCTTACTTTCCTAAAAAATGGGCAAATCATTAAAATATTTAAATATATACATGCATCCTTAATGATACCATTTACCACACACTTCTAAAGCAATCTAGTTAGATGACAAAATCCTAGAGTAGTAACCACGAGGAAATCGTCCAAGATTTAATAAAACACTGTCCCATCGATAATTATAATGCTGGATGACAAAGGTCCAAGCCCAAACTGACCGGGCCCCACCACCCATCTGAAGCAGTCCTGACACCATGCAGGAACCAGACACCTCTCCAGATTTGTCCCTCTAGATACAAGGAACTGTGTGTTCCAGGCTGTGTTCAAACCGTTTGGTTGGTGAATAATTTTTCCCAGTTTGAGCTTACTATCTTGAAAGGGTAACTCAGCAAAAACAATGATTAAAAGTCAAAGAATAAGCAAAAGGCAGAATTATCTTGGGTACACACCTGGGAAGCTGCCGAAGCTGATCAACCTTGGGCCCAAGAAAACCCTCAAGAATAAAGTACACAATACACCAAAACTGCGACCAACCAACGTCACAGGAAGGCATCATTGAAGCAGCAATCCAATGGTGCCATCTGCTGGCCAAGTGTGGAACCGCCTCAGAAACTTCAGAGCTAATATATGCTTATTAGATCTGGTTCCTGAATAAATTTGGCCACCTTCAAGACAAGCCAGCAAAAATAAAGACAATATTCAGCAACATAAAACAGCTTGGATGTTGACTACATGGTATATTCATTCCTTTCAAATTCTGAGACAGAGTCTTGCTAAGTTCCCAAGGCTAGCCTTGAATTTGTGATCCTCCTGCCTCAATCTCCTCAGGTGCTGAGCTTGATTACAGGTGTACACCACCATACCTGGCACAGTATATTTATTTTAAATAGAACTAATATAGATACAAGCTCCGTTGTTCAAATCAATGGGGCACAATTTGGTGGCTCTCATTTTCTTACACCTGGCCCGCACCCTTGGTGACTTAACTCCAATCCTGACCCAGCACCCAGAAGACGCTGTGAAGATTGAGTTGAGCAGGATGGACCGGCTAGGTGACAGCTACACCTCTTCTGCTTAGTGTGTCTTCTGGACTTATGAGCAGGCGACTGACATTTGAGAGAATGTGCCACGGCCACTTCCACATTCTTTTCACTGCTTTTTCTAACAACCCTGAGAACCAGGTGTCCTACTGGGCATTTTACAGACCTGGACAGTGGAGAGCACCTGCACCGTGGATGGCTGCCTGTCATCATCTCCAACCGTGTGGCGCCTGCCTGTGAGGGAGCAGCCGGGCACACACTGCCGCCTATCCTACGTGCCAGGAATAGACAGGTCAAGTTCCACCTCCTCCATCCGTCAGACGTCATTGTCATTACAGCACACAGCTGGTACAGCACAAAGTGTACAACGCAGTGTCACGACCCGCCTGGCATTACCCGAGATATCAGATGAAGGTCATGACTCTACCCAGAGTGTCTAAAAATACACGGCCAACAAGGCAAGCGACCTTTCTTACCAGGCGTCAGTCACAGGCTAGACAAGGACGCCTGAGTGTTTTCCAGAAAAGGCTGAGCTATACCTTCAGTCGAGACAGCCTCACCTAAAGGACATCTGAGGAAAAGGAAATCCTTCCCCAGGAAAAGCTGGTCTGACTGGAGCCAACCACTGCCACAAGCTGGGCTTTTCCAGAATAATCCTCTGAACAGTCAGGCCAACACCAGCGATCTTCATCACTAGCATCAGTCAGTATCTGGGATACCAAGAAAACGGTCCATTTTTAGTTAAGAAAAGACAGAAGCGATATTCAGCAGAGTTCTCTCCAGGTCAGGGGTCCTCCAAACCCAGTCCAGGAGCTGCACATGGCCACACCTGTTTTTGCTGCCAGTAACCAGAAGACATTGTTCTTTTACATTTCTGCTTAGAAAGTTTGTGTGTGGACTTGGTTTTCGTGTTTGTTTCTGTAATACTAGGGGTGAACCCAGGGGTGTTTTACCATTCAGATATATTCCCATTTTTATTTTTTTAATTTTGAGACCCGGTCTCACAAAGTCACCTAGGCTGGCCTTGAACTTGTGATCCTCCTGCCTCAGCTTCCTGAGTGGCTGAGACTGCAGGCGTGTGTCACCCAAAGTGTGCCAGCCCAAAGTATTCATTCTTAAAATGGGAACTAACAGCTCACACACAATCTATACGTCCTTGGGTCTGTTGATGTCCTTGGGTCTGTTGATCTAAGGATAGTGAAATGAAACATACGTCTTTCTCCTTCCCAAGACTTTTCAGTAATAAAGTTCCTATGGCCAAATATGTTTAAAGAACAAAGCCACAGCCGGGCTTGGGGGCACACACCTGTTGTCCCAGTCACCTGGGAGGCTGAGGCAGGAGGATGGCAAGTTCAAGACCAGCCTGGGAACTTCATGAGATCCTGTCTCAAAATAAGATTAAAGACAAATAAGGGGCTGGGAATGTGGCTCAAGTGGTAGCGCTCTCACTCTCTCTTTAAAAAAAAAAAAAAAGACAAATAAGGGCTGGGGATGTAACTCAGAGGTGGAATGCCCCTAGCTTCAACCTCAGTACCGTGAAAAAAAAAAAAGAAAGGACAAAAGGCGAATATCCTGTGCTAAGAATCACAGCTAAAGTGTTTCTGTCCTGCCCACAACAGATGAAATCGGGGCAAATGTACTAATTTGACAAGAAAATGCCCAGTGGCGGACACGTCCATCTTACAGGTGTTTGTTGAGTCTTCATAGACAGTACCCCCTGAAGAAAACATAACTGAGTCCCCGCAGGGTGGTGCGTGCCTGTTATGGGAGTGACCTAGGAGGCTGAGGCAGGATTAAGTTCAAGGCCAGTCTCAGCAACTTAGTGAGGCCCCGAGCCACCTAGTGCCACCCTGTTTCAAAATATACAAAAATAAAAGGGCTAGGGATGAGGCTCAGCAGGAGGGTGCTTGAGTGCCTGCCTAGCATGCACGGGTCCCTGGGTTGAATGCCCAGCATCCCCCCCCACACACAGAGAAAGATCAGTGATATTGGAAAATCAGAAGGATGCTGTCAAGAAGCCAAACACTTGAAGGAGTTCCAGGAAGACAGGGACAGGTCTGAGTTCACAGAGGAACCACAGTGCAGGGAACTGCAGGAGCTAAAAGGGCAAAGGTGGCCCTTCCAAGGGTGCCCTGGAGAGGCTTCAAGGTAAATCTGCACACAGATGGGCAGGAAAGGCCGAGGGCCAGCTGTGAGGCAGTCCATTCAAGAATGAAATCCGAAGCAGCCACTGGCCACAGCTTTCCCTCTCACACAGGCAGAGCCTGGGAAGATGGCTTTGGCTGCTGGGTAGAAGGCTCCAGGGAAAGTGGGCGGTGTGCCACAGAAAGGCTTCCAAGGCTGAAGCAACCTGCAAGAGCAGACCACATCAAGAGCTTGCTGTGGACCTGAGGGTACCTACCAACCACCTGGGGACTGACCCAGGGACGCTCCAACACTGAGCCACACCCCCAGCCCTTTCTATACATATATTTATTTATTAATTTTTATTTTTTTCGATACCAAGGATTGAACCCAGATACACTTAACCACTGAGCCACATCCCAACCCTCTTATTTATTTATTTTTAAATTTTGAGATAGGGTCTGGCTAAGTTGCTTCAGGCCTCACTAAGTTGCTGAGGCTGGCTTTGAACTTGAGATCCTCCTGGCTCAGCCTCTGAGTAGCTGGGATACAACCATGAGCCACGGCACCGAGCTGTTTTTCAAAAGGCAAGAGGTTAGACCGTGGGACACAGAGTGAAGTCCTCCTTGCTTTAGGGAAGGTAAAGGTCAGGTCCTCAGGAGGCTGCCTCATACATTCTCCAGGGAAGGCCAGATGCCAACTCACCAGACCCTCTTCCCACTCAGCTTACAAACTGCTCTTCGGAGAGGTGGACAGAGAAAAAAGCAAACATAATCTACTTGCATTTAAAGCTCCTGTTATAGACACAAAACAGATTTCCATGAAAGGGGGGCTACTGGAGAACTAGAAAATCTCTAGAAATGTAAAACGACTGCAAAACAGGAAATTTCAGAAAATGTCATGAAATAAAGATAAAGGCATTAAAAACATGAAGAGACATGGGGGAGAGATCCATAAGGCCAACAGTCTAACAGGGGATCAAGAACATGAGAACAAGAGGCAATATAGTGATAAGAATAGTCCAAGAAACAATGTGCTAAAGACTGCACCTGCTCAACAGGTGCCGAGACATTTATCTGGATGAAATTTTAGAATACCAAGGATAAGAAAACTTGTAAATTTCTACAGACAGTTCTCACAGTGATATTTACACTTTGGAGGCAAAAGATTTTCATTATTGGCTTGTGTTAATTTCTGTAAGTTTTGGAAAAAAATAAAAAACATCAAGTCATGAAATTATTTCCAAATAAAATGCAGCAGACTCTCGTTGATAGTTCACGTCCATAAAAACAAAGCATAAAAAGGAAACAGAAAAAATATTATATCCAAGGAATTGTTAGAATTAGCAAATAACTCACATTGTAGCTTGTGCTGGACCAGGTACTGACAGTCCCTGGTGCGTTTGAGGACATCAGACAGACGGGCAGCAGAAGCTCGCCCAATCCCACTTCCTTCTTCTCTTTTCCCAACCAAATATTGATTACTAATCTAAAGAATACCTCCATGGAAGGTATGATGGCACACACCTGCAATCCCAGCGGCTCGGGAAGCTGAGGCAGGAGGTTCATGAGTTCAAAGCCAGCCTCAGCAACGGTGAGGCACTAAGCAACTCAGTGAGAC